TCATACATTTTCTTCTATTTTATCTCTGTAGCTTCTCCTAGCTCCTGCTACTATTCGTACTAAAATGAGGACACTTTAAATAGAATACAGAGGTTATGGGTCAAGGTTAGCTTTTAGACAACCCAGGATCACCACCAAACATTGGCTATAAAAAACTGAATATTCTTAAGGCTACTTTAGGATGTCATGCTTTAATTAACTTAGGCTGGAGTCCATATATGGTGCAAATGGTTAATAGGCTTAGTTGCTATCCCAAAGGTGGGGGGTTTGAGTTCATCCAGAGGTGTTTCAGAAGAAAGGCCTGGCAGTCTATTTCTGAAAAATCAACCATTGAATACTCTGTGGACAACAGTTCTACTCTGATATTCTTGGGATTGCCATAAGTTGGAATTGATTCTTGGCAACTGGTTCTGGTTCTCATCCAACTAAAATTTCCACATCCTTGCATAGTACCATAAAGGATGAGGAACAAACAGTTTGACCATGTTCCTCCTTGATCATTACAGCTCTGAGCTCTTCAGTTTAAGTACCGGTTATGTACTGAAAATACAGGAAAACTCTTCTGTAGTGGATGCTCAATCTGAAACTATGTAAATTCAAATGGACCCCAATACGAGGAAGTGGTTGTGCTGATGGTAGCAGTGATCAAAGCAGTGGAAGGAAGAAGATCCGAGACATAGCTACCCCTCCTTGAGTTTCAGACGGGGTATCTCTATGGAAGTAGACTGCCTTCTGAGGATTGGCTGGTGGGTTTGAACTGCCAGCCTTCTGGTTAGCAGCAAATGCCTTAGGCACTGTGCCACCAGAGCTCCCTTCTCTGGTAATAAGGGGCTTGTAAATAACTGCAATTTGCTCTAGTCTGTGTTAAAGACAAGGATCCCTGGTAGGACAATGGTTAAGTGCTCGGTTGCTAACTGGAAGGTTGTCAGTGGGAACCTCCCCAGCTGCTCTGTGGGAGAAATGCCTAGTTATGTCTCATAAAGATTACAGCATAGGAAACCACATAGGGTCAGATCTGCTCTGTCACATGGAGTCAACATTGACCCATGGCACCTGACAACAACCATGTTAAAGATGACTGCTATATCCCCATAGTTTCAGTCTGGCTTGCCTTTATAATTGAGACAAAAGTGTTGCCAACTTGGATAGTTGACAGCTAATCTGCACCTAGCATCCTCTACAACTGGTGGATTTTAGCTTGATGCAGATTGCTATTCTAGGGGTTTTAATTTTTTTTTCATGTCAGCTCGTTATAACATGTGATTCAAAACCAAACTCACTGCCGTCAAGTCGAATCCAACTCATAGCGACCCCTCCTTGGGTTTCCAAGGCGGTAGGTATCATATGGAAGTAGATTGCCCAACCTTCCTTCCAAGGAGTGGCTGGTGGGTTTGAACTGCCAGCCTTCTAGTTAGCAGTCAAATGCCTTGCCACATGCAAGTTATAATATTTCAAAGACAGGTAACATACAAATTTTATTATCTTGACTTCTGAGACTAGTCTAGATTCATCATGGCATGTTTATTCTTGTTGCAGCACTCTCCTATGCTGACCACCTTGTGTTCCAGGTACTGTTAATCAGGGATCCTCTATTCTCGATACCCTGGATTTGAAAAGTAAAAAAATGTCTTCATGGCATGCTTGAAAGAAAGAGTTCCTAAGCAGATTGCATGTAGCAAAATATGGTCTATCTCATCCCCAATCATCACCTTAACAGGTGACATTAACTCTGAAATATTTGGAATATTTGTTTAAGCACAGAAACCTATTGTTGTTTTGTGCTGTCAAGTTGATTCTGACTCATAGTGACCCAATGTGATAGAGCTTCTATAGAGCTATAGGGTTTCTTAGGTCAAGAGAAGAACACCAGGTCTTTTCTCTGGGAGTAGCTAGTTGGTTCCAACCACCAACCTTTTGGTTAGCAGTTACATGCTTTACCATTACACCATTGACACTCCTTACAGAACTGCTAGTTTTTGGCTATTGAAGACTATAGTATCATCATCATTATCATCATAACATGACAATCCTGTAAATAAGAGATAATACAGTATGGTGGTTAAGCACAGGTGCTCTACAGCCTAACAAAACCAAAAACCAAAATCACTGCCATCAAGTCGAGTCCTACTCATGGTGTCTATATGGAAGCAGACTGTCGCATTTTTCTTCCATAGAGCAGCTGGTAGGTTTGAGCCACTGTGGTTAGTAGCAAAATGCCTTGACCACTGCACCACCAAAGCTTCTTAGAGCCTAACAAACTGTGTTTAAATCTAAAGTCCACTACTTATTAATTGTATGACCTTAGGTGAGTTAGATTCTATTGTTTTTCTCCTGTTTTTTCTCAAAATCTGTAAATTAGAGGTATAGTATTATTTCAGAGATATAGTACGATTGATATAGTACTATGTCACAGAGGTGTTTCAGAGATTACATGGATGTGGAAAACTGCCTGGTACATGGTAAATGTTCTTTAAATGTTAGGTATTATTAAAAATAAAACATTAAAAAAAATAAAAATAAAAAAACTAAGGTGCTTTGGTGGTGCAGTGGTTAAAACGTTTAGCTGATAAACAAAATGTTGGCAGTGTGAACGCACCAGCTGCTCCATGGGAGAAAGGTGAGGCAGTCTGGTTCTGTAAAGATTTATAGCCTTGGAAACCTTATGGGAGCAGTTCTACTTTGTCCTATAGGGTCACTATGAGTTAGAATCAACTTGATGGCAGTGAGTTTTTTGGGTTTTATTATTAAAAATAATTGATGATGAGTCACATGATTATGTTACATGTTACAAACAGGCTCTTTTTATTTTACATAATTCACAGTCTTTTCTCTAGAAGCAGGGTAAAAAGATTTGGATAATCTATCATCTGAATGTCCCTTGCTTTCATTTTTTCTTTGTACTGTGTCCGTTAAATTTGGTACAGTTAACCGCAAGCACCTTGCCCATAAAGCCAAAATATTCTGTAATCAGCTCTGCTATACCAATTTCATGAGTATTCAGCTCCTCAGCCCAGAATACTAATTGTGTAAAAAGTGCAATGAATCTCAATTCACTTTTGATTGCAATGATCTGAACCAAACACAAAACCTAGTTGATCCAAGATGATTTTGGCTTTACAATTTTGTGCATTACGTGATCTGCACACCCAAAACAGGAGTATCTTTGAATTTAACATATTTTCTTTCTCAGATAGAAGAATTCTTTTAATTAAAAACATTTTTAAAAATTTCAGTATGTGTAATTGTTAACACCTGCTATGTGTTACCAACAGATGTTTCTTACTTACCTAAGGGAACTGTTATAATTATTCTATAAGCTTATTGGAATGGCATTTACCAAAATAGTTGAGAAACTTTAGTTGGTGACTTTGTATATAATATTTGGTATTTCTTTAACTCTCTTCCCCTGTTGCTGTTGATCTCCACACACCCTCTCCAATGCTGCCCACCAAAAGCAGAAATGCCCTTTTAGGGTGCATTTACAAAACTAGTTATGATGAAGCATATTTTGTCTTTATGAAAAGATACTGAAATGAAACCTTCTGTATGCTACAGCATTTTAAATTCACTTTTAAGTGTTTGAACAGCTAATTCTAATAGTGTTCAACATAGAAGTCTTAAATTGTGATTATAACTGTAAAACTACACATTTTAGCAGAGCAAATACCTTTCTAATAAATTGACTTCAAAGAAAGCTGTAGTAAAAAATGAGAATTTTTACTATATTTATTTTTTCTGACTATTTGTAAGGTGGCATATCCAGTAAGCTTTCTCAGTTCTCCATTTATGTCACTAACCACACAATTACCTACAGGCATGTGTTAAATATGACACTGGTTTCAGCCAAATAATGGGCCAACTACAAACAATGAATAAAGAGAGGCAGCTCCATTTATAATTGCTATTTCAACATAGCTCTACTGTAATCTTACTGATCCGAGGTGACCCATTAATTAATTGATGTTCTTTTTTATTATGTGCTATTGAGTTAATGAGTAACTTGTGTGAGATAATTCTCTGAATACATTGATTACTTGAGATATTTTCTGGAGCTTTCATACAAATGACATGCTGAATAGGTAGAAGATGGTATTTGCTTTTGTGTGCTCATTATTAGCAAGTTTGAGATGGGTGCAAACCAATGAACAGCCACTTTAACATTATCTAATGTATGTAGTACCTTGTCTGCCCAAAGGAAGCTGAGTGCTCAGTGTGAGGCTTGTCGCATAGTAGGTACTCAATAAATGCCAACTGCATTAATGGCTATGTCAAACTTCTGCTTTCTATTACTTTAAGTTTCACTAAATCACCTTGTTACAATATCTATAATGGTGTTTTTAAGAAAAAATAATAATAAAAAAGCTGTGCTAAGATTGTATTCTGTGTTAATGGACTATTACAATAAACATGCAGTTTGTTTCTTCAACTTACTGAAGTGAACACTAAACATGTTTGGCCTATATCATTTCTACAAAATTGTTCAAGTGAATCTTCAGAGAGTGTTTTGCCTAACATGATAGTTAAAAGGAAACCGCTTGTGTATGGTATGTTTTACTTACAGACATAATTTTCAGCACCCTGTTTCAGTTAAGCCACACATCTCTTCCTTGAAAATGTACGATTTAGTTGATTTTTTTTTTGTTTTAATTCATCAAACAGGAAATAGGAAATTTGAAATTTTGTCTGACAACAGCAACATAGTTGCTTTCAGAAAGATCACTTAAAATTTATATAAGTGTACAAAATTACACCAGCAATTGCTACCTTCATTTTTGACATTTTCCCCTTCTCACAAAAGCAGATAGCAGTAAACTACCCAGAGCTTAGAAATCCTAAATATAACATTTGGAGGAAACATTTGAAGTACTTTATCTATGCTTGTTCAGATTTATATTTAGAAAATGAGTGTTCTTTCTTATACATATTTTATCCTTTTTCATGAACTTAATGTATGCTTTCTAGATATCATCTTATATTTTGCCAATTAAGCACAATGACACAGTGCAATACCCCTTTTTATTAAAAACATAAATTCAAATATAAAAAATGAATGAAAGAATCCAGCAGATATTTATTAAGCAAGATGAAAGTGAAATTACAAACACAGGTCAGCTTTTAAACTCAGCCAGCACTCTGGTGGAGTGGAGGGGCCAGGTCCTTCATCATAGGCAGTCTATGTGAGATGCGTGTTGGGAATGGAGCCTTCTCTGCTTGAAAAATCAAAGCTCTATCAGAGGTGTCCTACTGGAGGCATCAAATAACAAGCTAAAAGTGACGTCAGGGTTACACAACACAAAGAGGAAAGCTGACGACAATTCAGGGATTTTGAGTAGTTAAGACATTTAGCTTAGTACTTCAGGTCAAAAATGTTACTATTTATGGGCAATTAGCTGTAATATGCTCTACAGCTGAAAAATGATTTTTGTCGTTTCACAATTTCATAGAGATTAAAGATAATAATCTATGAAGATTAAGGCCTTAATCTTTAATCCAGAAGAGTACTTTTGTTTGTAGTAAAAAGTGTAAGAAAGAATTAATTTCTAAAGGATTAGACAAAAGGAAAAGCAGTAAAACCCTAATTTAGTCTTTGGATGTTGAGGATAGTTAAACAGCCTCAAAAAAGCTGAAATTATTTTCCCAATTTACAATAATTTGACATACTGATAAACATATGCAGAACTGCTTATGTCTTTAAAAATCACTTGAAAAGATACTGACAGTTAAAACTTCATATCCACATGAATTTCAAACAACTCTCAGTGGGGACTAGGAGCAGTATTATGGAACCCATTTCTTCCTTATCCCCTCCTCTTCTGTTTCTTTTGCTCTGCAAGTCTTTTCATGAAACAAATGTAAGGCTCGAAGGCTAAAATAATAGCTGTTTTTGAAATTATTTCTTCAGTACACTTCAGACTGGGGGGATATGTGACTTGAACACTCTTAACCATGAAGCATTTATAAAAATACATATCATTCACTTTTCACAGAACCATTTTCATAAGAATGAGAGGCAATACCCAGACTCACATGCATGTTCATGATATAACTTTGTTTAAAAACAATTCAAATCCACACCAGCATTATTTTTAGCTTAATATTTTGGCCCCCCCCCAAAAGAATTTAGGTATAACAATTCATCTTTATCTGTAATGTATATATTGTCAGGACAAAATATGTATGCAAATAACACTGGGAATTGTTTTCTATACAAATGATCAAGAAGAAGAAAAGACAAAAATCCATAGCACTAAATTTGCTCTAGCAAAAATGCTTCACTGTGCCTGTGTGGAATTAGATTTGTTGAAAAGTCTGATTACAGGGAGTGGAGGCAAAGGAGCAAAGTGTGAGCAACCAAGAAAAGGGATTATATTTTCATTCTTATTACTTCCTTAATTGCAATTTAAGTAATCATTTCCATAATTTCTAATTCCAGAAACCTTTCTTCTTTATCAGCTATCATGTAAGTAAGGGAATAATATTTCACCTTTAAAAAATAAAATGACAGATTTCAGCCTAAGTGAGAGGTATTCTGAGTGGGTAATTACTTAAAGAAAGCAATGAGAGAGTAAGACATGTCAAACTTTTAAAGTGTTCACTTTTTGGCATTACAATACATGGCAGGCAAATACAGAAAAATATATAATCATCACTAGTTTTCAGCTTTTTATCAATCCCTTTGTTTCTCTTCTTCTAGAATATTCCATGGGCATTTTGTTGCCTGACCAAACTAACCTCACTGCTCAAATATGATCATAGCTTCTATGTCTGTTAACATGGTTTCAATAGATTCACACTCAAATCTTCTTAGTGTCATAAATTTATTAATTCATGATGTTACTAAACCTCTAGCCACTGTGGAGAGACCTGGGCAAAATTTGTATAAGAAATGTATCATTTTTCAGTTATTTCATAAATGTGGTAACATTTCTTTAAAGTAACCCTTTGGAAAAATTTTTACAATACCCAAAGGCACTAGTTCACATAAGGGGTGAATGGCTGTAAAACAAAAACAAAAACAAAGCCATTGTATAGTTAAAGAGCACACACACACACAAAAGTATATTAAAAGGATAACTGTTAAACATTAAAGTTATTCTAAAAATGGCACTTTTCACATTGGTATAAAATGAAAGTGCTTTGAGATGAAATTTTTATGCATTTTTTTAAAGCTGATCTTTAACCCCCTGAAAATAGGGAGTTATAATGAGAACACTGATAGACTTTATATCATAGTGTCAATAAGTAGAGGATGTTTCTAAAATGCTGTGTGTGTATGTGTGCGTGTCTTTACTTTTTTTAGTATTTTTAATGCTGATAGACTTGCTTTATCTATATGCGTATCATTAGTGAGATTTGCTTTTCAATTCTTTACTAGAAAGTTGCAGCTCATTTAAAATAGCTGGTAGATACAGAAAGCATAAATATACAGTAAGTTTAAACACTGATTGTACTAAATGCAACAATACAAAGAAGCAAACAGAACACAAATGGTAACACAATAAAACTGTATTACATTTGTGCTTCAAATATTACAATACATTATATACAATAGTCCAAAATAAACATCTCATGCCAAGTGACACAAAAACAAATAGCAAGCAAAAAAAAAAAAAAAAAAAATCCAGCAATATGTACATTACTTTTTTCTTTAATAATAAACATTCAACTCTGAACTGGGGCAATTTCACTACATACAGATGCAGTCCGCCTTTTATTCCATATAACCATCCTGTTTTCCTATATCTACGCTATTTAGTAGGTTCCTGTGTCAATTCTTATATACATGTGGAGCAAAAAAGATAAAAGAATGTAGTGCTTTGTATTCTTAATGGGGTGATGTTGATAGATCAGCGAACCTGGGGTGCATAGCCTTCTTTCATTAAACCTTCTTCGTAGTCTGTCTGGCAAAGGATCATGTTATTCTTTAGGAAAAATTTGTCACCAACACAAAATCTGAAAATATTAAAAAAAAAAAAAAGAAGAAATGTATTTAGACTATTTCAACCAGATCTCCAGATTTGAAGCTTTACTTTTCTAACGATAACTTCACATGGATCTGAAAGCTTGGTTAGAAGTTGCTTTTGTTGTCAAAACGAAACCATTTAGTTCATGCAATGAAATATTATAGACAAACTTTTAAATCCCATCTTCACACATATTAAAACATTAAGAACATCACACGTTGGGCTATAGAGGGGCTTTTTTGCAGCATTAGAAAGGAAAAGAACTGGTTTATATATACACTCATTAAAATAAGAAATAGTATTGATAATATTTCACTGCAATGATTCTGGAAGATTTCATCACTGTGCATCTGTTCACTTAATGAAAAAATAAAAGACAGTCAAATAAACAATTAGAAAATTGCACATTTTTAAAGCTTCTCATTTAAGCTTTCTTTTAGTCAATTATTAAAATGTGATTAAATCCTAGTAATTTGAAAGTAAATATTCTGAAGTGAAATAGTGCTGCTGCTGGGTCATATTCTTTTGTTTGTGGCAAATTTACCAACTATGAAACAGTTGATGTCATTTCTTACAGCACTTGCAGTTAAACCTAAGGGAGTAACCTGAATGAATTTCTTAATATTGATGTGATAAATAAAACTCATTTCCAGTACCCAATTATGCATTTTGTTTTATAAAGTACTGTTCAATGTACAAGATTGTGATGTTTTTATAAGTGCTCTTTTTTTTGTATAATTTCCTAATGGTGACACTTTGGACACAATTAAGATTAGAAATAAATGCATGTGCTGTTTCCGGTACATTTAACAATAAAGTAACTCTGGGGAGATCTGTGTATATATTTAATTGTAACAATTTAACCTTCAAACAGTGGTGTTTGGTAGAGTTGACCCAGTAAAACTACTTGTAACTATCCAAGTTGACCTCACCCACCTTTGATAGTGGTCTTCCTTCATCAGATAGTCAATTTCAAATGATGTTCAAGCAGAAATCTTAGTGGCTAGATTAAATTGTGTGGTGAAAGCCACCCTTTAATGTTTTGAGAAGTTGAAGGTTTCAATGAGGAGTTGGACTGATTTACATTTACAAAGATTGGAATGCTAGACAAACAGTGAACTATTTATTTTCCAACTGGGTAGCTTTGGAAATTTATCCTTATATTAGCTAAATAGATAGAGGAGGAAATAGTGTAATAAAAAGGACATAGATTGAAAAGAATTAGCTTTTCTCTTAAAGGAAAATTGGTCTGTTTATTTGTGGAATTTACTTTTTATCCCCGCCCCCCAGGATTATTGCCTGATGTTGATTGAAAGTGTAGATCTTGAAAACCTGAAGCTGTTAGTGGTCAAGGCTACTGGAAACAACAAACATTCAAGTTTGGGGCTTTAAGTATATCTTGTTTTTTTAGTTAGAAACTATATACCTTAAATGTCACACTTAAAAAAAAAATGTTTGAACAAACTAGTCTGTGTACATTATCCTGATTATTAAAACATGTGGACTAAAAGACGTATTTCTGTTGTTGCACAAACCTAAAGAACCGAATAAGATACTTAACTCTTACAAGTAAATTATGTAAAATAGCAGTAGAAATATCTGATCACTGCTGAAAATGATCAACCTATAATACGGTTGAAATTAATCTGAATTTAATAATAAAAAACCATATCAAAAGCATAAATTCAATAACACACTTTGTATCCCAGTTAATGTTACTAAATCATTTTTCTAAACACAAACTAATCTAGACTTATTCTCTACATCAACTCTACATTGTCTAAAATTTTGCTTTACTTTTTTAACAAGACTAAAAATCAGAATAGATATAAAATAAAACATGGTTTATATCATGTTATTCTTCTCTTCAGAGGTCTTCAAATTTAGATAATTTTCTTTTAGAGATTAAAATTCAAAGTAAGACAATGAGAAAAATACCAAACCGGCAATCTGCCAATTTAGTCTTGAATCCTGATTCTATCATGTAGCCAATTGAAGACATGGGGTAAGTATCATACTTTCTGTCCCAATTCTCTGCATGTGAGACAAAAACATCTATATTGTTGGATTATTTAAAAAGAACAAGAGAAGAAGAAAAAAAAAACAATTGCCATGGAGTCAATTCTGACCCCATATGTGTCAGAGTAGAACGATGTTCCAAAAGGTTTTCAATGGCTGATTTTTGGAAAGTAGATTGGTAGATCTCTTTATCAAGGAGCCTCTAAACCAAAAAACCAAACTCACTGCTGTCGAGTTGGATCTCACTGACAGCGACCCCTCCTTGGGTTTCCAAGGCTGTATCTCTATGGAAGTAGATTGCCCAATATTCCTTCCAAGGGGTTGCTAGTAGATCTGAACCACCAGCTTTCTGGTTAGTAGTCAAATGCTTTAGGCTCTGGGTACACTCAAACCTCCAGCCTTTTGATTAGTAGCCAAGCATTTTAAACATTTTTTCCACTCAGGAACTCACTGGATTGTAGGAAGGTTCAGATGAAAAATATTAAGAAAGGCAGAGAGGTATATCACAATGATCAGGATTCAAATTCTAGTTCTTATGATACTGAAGATGAAACTTCAGTTTTTCTTATGTGTAATGTCAGCCACTTTTGCATAGTTGTGGTAAGGAGGGGAAATCAAATATGTAAAGTCATACCTCAGTGTTTGGAACAAAGCTAATTAAAATAGCCACCTTTTATCTTGTACTTATCATGTGCTAAAGGACCCTAAAACCAAAAAACTCCAATCTCACTGCCATCAAGTCGATTCCAATTCATAACATTTTCAGAAGCAGATTGACCCTCTTCCTTCCATGGAGTGGTCAGTGGGTTTGAACCTCCAACCTTCTGGTTAGTAGGCAAATACTTTTGGCACTGCACCACCAGATCTCCTTAAAGGACCCCAGGTGGTACAAATGGTTTGTGATAGACTGCTAACCAAAAGGTTGATGATTTGAACTCACCCAGTGGTACTACAGAAGAAAAGGGCTTGTGATCTGTTTCTACTAAGATTACAGCCAAGACAACACTATGGAGTAGTTCTGTCTGTAACACATGGGGTTGTCATGAGTCAGAATCAATTCAAAGGCAAGCAACAACACTATCATGGGCCAATGCTAAGCATGTATACACATGTTCACATTTAACTTTTACATCTAACCCAGAAATAGCATTGTCCTTTTCAGGTGAAAAACCTAAGGCTTCCATGCAGAATTTAAGAAATCTGCCCAACAACGTTGTAGTCATTTCTTGGTCATAGCCAGCTACCCAGAGGGTCCAAGTAGTTGAACCTGTGGGCTCGGGACCATAGCTGCAGGAGACATCGAGCCCAATTGCCATAATATACTACACAAAACATTGTTCCACCTCCTACTTTGGCGAGTAGCGACTGGGATCTTAAAAGCTTGCAAGCTGTCATCTAGTTGCAATGATGGGTCTCTCCTCATCCAGAGCAAAGAAGAATGAAGAAAACCAAAAAAGCATGGAAGCAATTACTCCTAGTGACTGGTACACCATCCGATCTGTAGTCTACACAACTATGAGACCAGAAGAACTACATGGTGCCCGGCTACCACTGTCAACCATTTAGAAGGAGATCCATACAGGAGATTCTGGCTAGAGAGGGAGAATAATGTGGAACAAAAGTCAAATTCATTTGGAGAAAAAGAAAAGGGGGGGGGGGACCAGATTTGCTGGTCCAATAGAGCCTGGTGGAACCACTGAGACTATGGCCCCTAGCTGCCCTTCAGGTCTGGAATTGAACCCG